ACACTCAAGAAAGAAATTGAAGGCGACACAAATAAATAGAAAGATATTCCATGCTCATGGTTTGGAAGAATTAATATAGTTAAAATGGCTGTATTGCCCAAAGAAATCTACAGATTAAATGCAATACCTATTAAAATACCAATGTCATTTTTCACAGAACTAGAACAAATAATCCTAAAGATGGAACCGCAAAAGACTACAATTGTCAAAACAAAGCCAACTGAACAGCTGCATGCAAAGGATTAAACCTGAATCACTTTCTTATACCATACACAGAAAAAAGTTCAAAATGGACTAAAGCCTTGAATGTAAGACCTGAAACCATAAAATTCCTGGAAAAAATAAGGCAGTAAGCTCTTTGACATTGGTCTTAGCAATATTTTTTGGCCCAGTCTCCTCAGGCATGGGCAACAGAAGTTAAAATCAACAAATGAATTACATCAAACTAAAAAGCTTTTGCACATCAAAGGAAACCGTCATCAAAATGAAAAGGCATTTTATTGAATGGGAGAAGATATTTGCAAATGATGTATCTGGTAAGGGGTTAATATCCAAAATATATAAAGAACTTAGGCAATTTGAAAAAAACAAACAACTCAATTAAAAAATGGGCAGAGAAATTGAATACACATTTTCCCAAAGATGACATACAGATGACCAACAGGTACATGAAAACTTGTTCAACCTCACTAATCACCAGGGAAATACAAATCAAAGCCCTGATAAGATATCACCTCACACCTGTCAGAATGGCTAATATAAAAAAGATAAGAATAGCAAGTGTTGCAGAGAATGTGGAGAAAAGGGACCACTCATACACTGCTGGTGGGAATGTAAATTGGTGAAGCCACTATAGAAAATAGTATGGAGGTTCCTCAAAAGATTAAGAATAGAACTACCATATTATCCAGTAGTTCCATTTCTGAGTATTTAACTGCAGAAAATGAAGACACCAATTAGAAGAGATATATGTGCCCCTATGTTCATTGCAGCATTATTTACAATAGACAATTTATGAAAGCAACCTAAGTGACCATCAATAGGTGAATGCATAAAGAAGATGTAGATATATACCCACACACAATGCAATATTACTCAGCCATAAAAAAGAACAAAAACATTGCCATTTGCAATGACATAGATAGACCTACAGGGCATTATGCTAAGTGAAATAAGTCAGACAGAGAAAGAGAAATATTATATGAGTTGATTTTTATGAGGAATCTAAAAAAGAAAACAAACAGAAACAGACTCATAGACATAAGAAACAAACTATTGTTCACCAGGGTAGGGAGTGGGAAAAATAGGTTAAGGGGATTAAGAGGTACAAACTTCCAATTATAAAATAAATTAGTTATGGGAATGAAAGTATAGCATAGGGAATATAGTCAATAAAAGTACAATGTTTTTGTATATTGACCGATGGTAACTACACATCATTGTGAGCATTTTATAATGTATATAATTGTTAAATCACTGTTATACACCTGAAACCAATATAATAGTCTATGTTTGGTGACAGATGGTCACTTAGACTTATCATGGGGATCATTTCATAAGATATAAAATCAAATTAGTATGATGTACACCTGAAACAAATAGGATATTGTATGGCAATTATACTTCGAGGAAGGAAGCAAATGTTAGTAAGAACATGGAGAAATTGGAATCTTTGTGTACTGTTGGTGAGAATGTAAAATGGAATAGCCAGTATGGAAAACAGTACAGTGGCTCCTCAAAATACTAAAAATAGAAATAGCATATTATCTATCAATCCATTTGTGGGTACATACCCCCAAAAATTACAAACACAATCTCAAAGAGATATTTGTACACCTATGTTCATAGCAGTACAATTTGCAATGGTCAAAAGATAGAAGCAACTCAACTGTCTATAAACATATAAGTGGATAAAAAAAAAATGTGGTTCATATACACATACAATGGAATATTATTCAGCCTTAAAAAGGGAGGAAATTCTCACATGTGTTACAAATATGGTTGAGTCTTGAAGAAATTATCTTAAGTAAAATAAGTCAGTCACAAAAAGACAGTGTATGATTCCACCTACATAAGGTACTTACATGAGGTAGTCAAATTCATAGGGACAGAAGGTAACATGGGGGTTGCCAGGAGCTAGGGCCTAGGGGAAGAGGGAGATGGTATAAGATGAAAAGAGTCCTATTACTATTACTATACTATTAATGTGTACACTTTAAAATGGTTAAGATGGCAGATTTATGTTATGTGTAGTTTACCAAAATTAAAAATTAAAAAAGGAATATAAGAAAAATGAGCATCATTGAACAAGAGAAGAGGGTTATTGACAGGAAAGCGCACAACAAAGTGTATAGGTATACTACAGTATACAAAGTATACTGTACTATATATATTTTATATGTATAATATAAAATACTAGGGTATTTTTGGTGCTTTTTTTTGACCAGGGTATTAATTACAGGAATGTGTTCATTTTATGGTATTTCACCATACACCTTTATGCTGAACTTCTTTTTGTTCCTATTTTATACTTTAAAATACAAACAAAACAAAAACCTACCAGCATAAGTTCTTACAATAGAAAGGCCATTTGTGTCCTTTAACTATAAATGTTTTTTGTCAAAAAAAGAAAGAAAACAAACATGTTCAGAACTTTCATCTCTTTTGTGTCACAGGTAACTAATAGAATTTGAACTTGTAGAATCATGATGATAAAGAAAAAATTATTCATGACACTTAAAATAGTAAGGAAGACCTTTATTCAAGGGGGATTATCGTGATAGGTATAGGGACTACCACAATGGAATTTTGCAGTAGGGAAGAGATAGGGCTCAACTCCAAATTAAGAAAAAGTGGGAATTTAAAGCCAAGGAACAGGATGGAGTTTTCCATCAGTGGATGGAAAATTACTAAGAGGAAACTTCAGGATTAAGGGAGGATTCTGACTAGGCCAGCCTACCAGGATTCTCGGTAAGGGCAGGCCAGAGTGAGCAGACATCTCCTGGGAGATGGTGGAGAATGAAGAACCTGATCGTATATTGACAGTGGTCAGATATCAAGAGTGAGGGATTCTGGCTAAAGTAATTTAGCAGAATTCCTCCTAAAACTGGACAATGCAGAGACAAACATGGATGCACAAAAGTCAAGGCCTACTTGAAAGAGAATTCAAAGGAACCTCACTAAAGTTTTGTCAAGTACAGAATCTTTGTCACTGGACAATTTTACAACTCATCCAAACTTAAGTTTCTTACCCAGATCATCAGGATGTAGGCTCAGAATCTAAAATGCCCATTCAGTATGTCAATGGAATTTATGGCTATATTCAAATCTTTAATCTGAGAAAAACCAGGCCAGAGCTTGCTGATTAAGCTCGTGTCTCCTGTTGCCTTCCCTACCTTTCTTAGTTTGTGATGAATACGTTGTAAATGATAAAGATAAGCTCGTGTCTCCTGTTGCCTTCCCTACCTTTCTTAGTTTGTGATGAATACGTTGTAAATGATAAAGTTTATGGTTTATATCCATTTTTTTAAAGTAAATTTTGTGTTGGCATTAGGATGAATTTTTGAACTTTGCTTTTTATTCTTATAAGTAAGACTGAAAAGGAAAGTAAGGGCAGGGCTATTTTGAAATAAAACTAATGCTGAGAAATCAGTTACTTTTTCTTCTGACAAAAGAAGCTATTGTTCATATTAGGCATCAAAAATAGTTCTAGACACTACTGAATCTTTATGTGAACTTTGTTTATAGAGAAACTAAATTCCCTGCCTACCCTTCCAACCCCTTCTCAGAAAAAGTAAATTTATTGTCTGTGGATAAATTTGGAAATATTGCTGAGTAATTTGGTTCCTGGTATATATAGTACAATTCTATTTGGAAAAATACTTATAAACCAAGAATGCATAGATAAACTCTAAAATCATATATGCTCCCAAATTAACAGTACTGCTAGCTTTTTGAAAGGATTAAGTTTTTTTAGAGTTTTTAGAATTATGAATTTTTCAATGAATGTCAGTTATTTTTATAACAGCCACACACACATAATAAAATACTTTCCATTTTTAAAAGAAAATAATTTTTTTCAGTAAACATTTTCTGAGTAGCTTCTATGTATTTGATTAATGATTTTCAATTAGTTCATTTTTTAAACTTATTGAAGAAGCAATGACCATATATATAAAACTCATACATTTGACTATATAGAAAACAATGACTATGTAAAAAACTCATACATTAGGGTTTAACTGGACACATTTGAGTTATTTCTAGTAAGGTATAAGTCCTAGTAAGTAAAGTTCAGATAAAAAGGCTGCTTAGAATGAAGGATTGTACCAGTCCTCTGGTTTGGACAGACACCAGGAGCTTTTAATATAGTTACTTGGCGAAAAAGGTATTTTATCCTGGTGAACAAATAAAGGAGACAAAACTGTATGAGAGTTGCCATTTGGAACTGGGGTAAGTTATTATTTTATTAATGTGGAAATTTACATTAAAATATTTCAGAATAAGCAATGTGCTGTATGTGGTTAGATGCCAATGCCAATTTACAGCGTTGGTGTGATTGATGAGCATGTGAAGTGCCCTAATCTATAATGATCACATTAAGAGCTGGTGATTTAGCACAGGAAGCATGTTTTTCTGAGCTAACACTTTGTTTAGCATTTGTTAATTGCCACAAAGGTTGGCATAAGTAATTAAGTCAGTGGGGGTTAAAGTATGGAAAAGATTAAGAGAAGTGAACAAGATCTGATACCTTTGCATGAACAAGACATGCATGAACAAGTCCAGTAGCTCAGGCCAGCTGTGCCTTGCTCCAGGCATTGAGGCTATTGCACTTTTATATTTAGACCCCAGAGATCAGATAATACAGTGAAAACATGACAAATGGGGGCCCTGTTGGATGGTAGTGGCCAACATTTTTTGAACACTGTGTGATTATATGGTGGGCTCTGTAAGAGCTGAAGAAGAAGACCAAGTACCTGAAATCAAGAGACAGCAGGGGAGACAGCTGGAAATAGGTCATTTTAATTTCACATAAAAATTGCTATGGGAGGAATGACAAGTTGCAATGGCAGTACAAAGAAGGGTCACCTTATCCAGTCCCAGGAAGTCAGGAGATAGGAGACCTAAAGGAAGAACAGACTAGCATATAAACAGTATCAAGTGAGGAAGCAGGTCTGTTTTAACAAGTCTCTATATTGTGTGCAAAGGCCCACAGTCAAGATAAAATGTGAAGTTTCCAGAACAAGGAACTCATTCTAGTTAAAGCAGACTCTAAAGCACTGTACAGCTGGAAAGGAATTCCACAGAAGTTGAGTTAAATTAAAAGGAAAAATTTTTTTCTCTTTTATCCATGTTATCAATTTGAATGGAATTCAGAGGTTATTCCAGAAGACTTCCCAAATGACTTTATATCTGTAAAGAAATTAGGGACTAGAATTTTCAGGCTTTATTGAAAAGTCATGATGAAAAAGGATTTGGGTGCATGCCTTGTATATTTCTAGTTTCCCATTCTACTGAGCAGACTCTTTCTGTTTCCCCATATTCTTACTAACCTAGTCTTCTGTCAAATATTTTTCTCTTTGCAAATCATAATGGTGAAACTGGTATCTCAGTTTTACTTTACACAGCTCTTATTATCAGCAAAATCAACTGTGTTTTCTACTTAGAGTATTGTGCATTTTTAATGGGGATGTTTTCTTTTCTCATTGATTTGTAAGTGCTCTTATAGCTAAATACAATATTTTCATTGTGATATAAATTGTAAATGTTTTCTTCATATTGCCATTTGTCTTTTTGCTTTTCTTGTATCTTTTCTATGAATAATTTCATTATTTTTATGTAGTTTGAATGTATTAATCTTCTCTTTTATATCATCCTCTTATTCATACTGGAAGAGTACACCTCTATTTCAAAACTGTTCTAAAAATTTTCAACATATTACCTAATTTTACAATTTCATTTTCATTTTTAAACCTTTGATACATTTGAAGTTTGTTTTGGTATGAAGTATAAGGAAGACTCCAATTTTATTTTTTCTGGATGCCTACATGTAGTGCAAATTCTATTTACTGAATGAATATTCCCTATCCCTTCACTAATGGGAAGTGTCAAATTTATCATATACTAAATGTCTGTAGGAACTTTTTTTAATGTCCAAACTTTGAATTCACTTTTACTGATTTTTGAATATTCAAATGTCAGTACCACTAATTATTGGCATGTTTTAATGTACAGTTAGAGATAGCTGCCCATCATTATTCTTCCCTTTAAAGAATTGTATTGGATATTTTTGCATGTAGTTTTTCAATATAAGGATATATCGAAAATAAAATAAATTTATTTACTTCCAAAAAAATGTTTGACATATTTACTGAAATCACATTAAATGTGTATACATATATATACACACACACACACACACATATATATATATATGCACATATACACATACCATATATGACTTACAGGGATTGATATATTTTCTTATGTCCATTGTTATATATTTCCGAGTTTTTCAGTAATATTTAAAACATATCTTTATGTGAATTTTACAAATTTATTTATCATTTTATTCAGAAGTATTTTATTTGTTGTGACAGTATACCAAACTTAGTTTTATCTTCCACTGTATTTCCATTCAATTTGTTTCCCATTTCTCTAAATTAATTTATTCAATCAAAATTAAGTTTGTTTTTTTGTATACCAAACACTGACATATTTTGAATCACTTTTTATTTTTTAACTTCTGTTGTATGAAAGTAGCATGACATGTATTTCAAAAATGAAAACAGTATTACACTATTAAAAGAAGCCTCGTTTTAAAATATCCTTAAGAAACCTAAGCCTATTTAATTTCTTTAGTCAAGAATTTTCTGCTCTCCATACCATAGTTTAAAAATTTCAGGTAGTGCAATAATTAGCACATTCCCAGCCATTTCAATAGCCTTCAACATACATGAGTCATTGTTTTTAGTTTCTTCAATCTCTTTTCTTAATCGATTTATCTCCATAGCCAACTCATGGGATTTCTTCTTAAATTTTTCATTAAGCAATTCTTCTTGGATCTATAAAAAAGAATTCACTTTTGAAAAATTTCCAATTACCATGACTTACGGTTTTGTATTTAATAAACAGCAAAAAGCATATTCTATTTTTCTGCCACTTCAGATTGCTCTTTAGGGGATGTCTAATGTATCCACACCTTTCGACCAGCATAATGAAGGGATCAATGATTTACAACTTTCTAAAACTTCCTTAGCACCATCTCTCTGGTGGTGGGGAGCTGTCAAGGTAGGTCAAACTTGAGAATTTGCCCCATTATGGGTTCCAGTCCAAATTATGCCCTTTGGGTGGAATAGAGTTTTGATTCTAATTAGTTCTCAGTTCCACTCGAGGCAGCATGGTCATAACTAACAATATGTGGTAACTCCTGATACTATGTAGAACACTGGTTATCAAGCTCCACGTTGGACCAATGGAGGATTTTCCTCCCTTTATAGTAACCCCAGTATATTCAAACAGATCTGGAAATAAACACAGCAAGATTTAGAGCATTCAGTATCCTGCATTTCACATCATACCTAACCTGATACTTTCAAGACCAAACCGATATACTTCAGATCTCTTCAGTGGTTTTATCAAGAATCCTAAGGATCATAAGACTAACAGATAAGAACCCTGTTCAATTGAGGTTCACGAGACCATCCTATAATCACCACAAACAGCAGCACAGTTCCCTGAGAGGTATTATTTGTATACTCCAGAAGGTGCTGGAATATTGTGGATTTAAGAGCTACAACAGAATCCAGGTCGATTTGAGACAGTTAGTAAATCATTTACTATTTTTGTTTCCCTCTTGAACCTTGATTTTGCTCAAATTTTGTCCTTCCTTTCCCAAGGAAACAGGGAATTGTCTGTCAGGTACTGCCCTGATTCGGGCCATACTTACCCTTAGATAATGATCCAATATCTTTTCCAGCATCTCCTGAAGTCTTTCTTGTTCCTTCTTTATCTTTTCTTCCAGCTGGGCTAGGTTTTCGTTGAAGCTTCTTTCTTGAGCCTCCAATTTTTGCTGTTGCTCATTCTCTTTCTGCTTTAGCCGCTCCTGTTCTTTCTCAGCTGCTTCCTTTTTGGTCCGTTCCACTGTCCCATGACAGTTTTTAAAGGGAAGAAAATAACAGGTCAGGCCTGACCCTCCTGAGCTCAGAGACTAAAATGACTTTGAAAAGGTGACTGGGAAATCTCTAAATTCATGTGATGGCCACACCATCGGCAAGTTTCTAAATGTGCAGAAACAGGCTCTGCCTGTCTGGTTGATGTACAACTATAGTTTGCCTTGTTAGTTTCAGGTTTGACTTAACACAGTGTGTGTTCTGCAGGAGAGGAAGCTCCTTGTTTCAGGAAAGTCTTCTGGTTGCATTTGTCAGAGGGCACTGCAGGAACCTACCCACCCCTCTGTGAGCTGAGCCCTCTCCTGTACCTGCAACGGCCTTCTCCTGAGCAGTGAGGGCATTGTCTGAATGCAGGATGCATTCCTCTACTGTTGCCTGTGACTGTAGAAAGCCCTGGAGGACCTCACTTGCCTGAGGAACCAATAAGGAGCAAAAACATGTTAGGGAACAAAGATCTAGTCTAATGCTAGGGAAATTATTGTTCAACAAAATCCAACGTTTGACCCTGTAAATTGTGTATCTCTGAATGATTTACTTCCTTCTATGTCCACAATATAAATTCCAAAGCTATTGATGGTACATGGAACTCCATCACCACCTTTCTAGCTTTTCAGACCCCTTTCTCACTGATGCCCCCCAAAAACCACTATGGGTTACACTGAACCATATTCTATTCTTGTGCTAGCTCCTCTAGCCTTTCTCAACAGAGCTATATATGGATACTTCATCTAATATCTCCTGGAACTACCTTCTAGAACATTTTATAAGCTGCTATCTGGGCTTTGAATGGTCACCAAGTTTATTGAGCTGCCTACCAGCTCCATCACTTAGTCTTAGGCAAGTAATCACCTTCTTTGTACATCACATTTCTCAACTGTATAATGCAGATAGCAGTAGTTCCTATTCATAATATTACTCTGAGGATTAAACTGTTAATCCAACAAAAGCACCTAAAACCATGAGCGATATAGTGAGTATTCAATATATATTAACCATTATCATCATCATCATCACCATTGGTATCTTTGCATACCAGTATGATAACCCTTATCACAACACATCCAGTTCACTATTTGCATCTTTGGTAAGATCATCAGTATCTTAAGAGCAAAGTTGTGTTTCTAATATTTGCATTCTGTGGACTTAGCACAGATATTGTTACATGTCCCATAAATGAAAATGAAATTAATATTTTATTTCAACTGGATTCATGATTCCAAATCATTTCTTTGTAAATGTCTTTACATTTACAATACCTTTAAAAATACCTAATTAATTGTGGATATGAAAACTAAAAATGTGGAAATATTGCCTTACTCTGATTTCTCCCCATAATCAGTGCTGAGGTCTTAGATTTTCAGAGGGAGTAATAAAGACCATCTGTCTCCACTCTGTTGTCCATCATCTCTCCCCTTATTCTCACCTTAACTCCTTTTCTGGGCACTAGCTTGTAGCCATGCTCAACCTTCTTCTTTGCTTCTAAGTAGAGCTTGTGTCCTCCAGAAACAAAGAAAGTTTTCTCTTTAATGTTTTCCATCAGGGGCTTTGAAAGCTGCTTCAGCATAGCCTGACAGTATTTGACAGATGCCTCTTCATTCTGCTGCAAGAAATATTCCTTCTTTTCCTCTATGGCTTCCTGCCGGGGAAACATAGAGAAATCCAACAGAAAGAGGCTGTTAGAGGGGAAAGTCCAGCAGTGATCCTCTTGGAAGAAGCAGTCTGATCACCTAGTGGACTGGAACATGGAAGGGACCAAAAGTCAAGACACTTTTAGTCTTAGTTCTAACCAATCCTCTGTGTGATCTCTGAAAAGTCCCTTTACTTCCTTGGGGCCAGGCTCATCAACTGCAAAATAATGGGATTGGAAGACATGAACTCTATGGTTCCTTAAGCTGTAGTATGATTAACAGTGACCCAATCACCAGCAATGAACAAGAGAATGTTGAATTGTGGCTAGAAATAGACTTTCCTCAGAGAGCTTGGGTTGCTATGGATGGAAAAATATACAAAGAAAACCAACCATCCAGTAATGACTTGAAGTGTACTCTGAACAGTTTAGAACTCTTCATGAATTCTTTTAATAAGGATTTGAGTGTGTGAAGATAAAGAAATGGAAATTTCCCTTGCTCTTGAAAGTTACAATATAGTTGACTTTCTGGCACTTCCTCAATATAAACTGCGAGATTTTTTTCACTTGCAGGCTGGTCACAGATTGAAAGAAAAACTTCCAATGAAGGTGCCTGTGGAAAGCAGAATTAAGGCATCTCCCAAGATTTCCTTTCTGTGATGAATACTCCTTGCATAGTCCTGGAGCCTGTGAACTTGATAAATTTTATTCCACTGGTTAGGCTATATTATATAGCATAATTTGAGTTTAGGGGGTAGGGATAGGGAACCTTAAATAAGAATTTGAGGTATTTAAAAGCAGAGAGTTTTCCCCAGCTCCAAGCAGAAGAGGAAGTCAAAGAGACTAAAACATGCAAAAATATTTGATGTGTTGTTGGCTTTGATGATTTGATGATTATTGGCTTAAAGATGGAAGGGAGAACATGGAGATACATGAAAACTGCTCCTAGGAACTGAAATGCCCCCTGTCTAACAGTCAGCAAGAAAGGGAGCATGAATCATACAACCAAAAGGAAGTGGATCCAGTCAACAACTGGAATGAATTCGGAGCCACCTCAGAGCCTGAAGCTGAGAATTCATTTTGGCCAACATCTTGTTTTCAGCCTTGTGATACTCTGAGCAGAGCACCCAGTCATCCTGTGCCTGCCTTCTGACCTACAGAATGGATGGTGAGGCTTCTAGATTAATGGCATTTTTTAAAATGCAGCAACAGAAAATCAATAAAAGGTAAACAGTAGCCTTGTAGAGCCCTGTCACTTAGAAATCCAGGCTCCTTCTACCATGAGTAGATGAACCACAGAGTAAAAAATACACAGTCTAAGCATTAGTTCAGAAAGGAGGAATCAAGAGGGATAAATGCTAAGACAAGTTACCACAAGCTTTTTTTGGAATTTCCGTTCATCATCCCTGAAGGAGTTCTCTATGAAGACTGCAATGGCTTCCTTCTCACAGTCTCCATGCTTCTTTAGCAACTCCTGGAGCGAATCTGTGGGAAGGCTTACTACTTGGGTCATCTCCTTGCTGTAGTGGTTGACTGCCTTCTGCACAGCCACTGAGTTCTCATGCTCAGCCAGAGTTGTCACAGCATTCTCCAAACAAGGAACTACACCACTCTTGATGGCATTCACATAGGCTTCCACCAGAGCCCCCAGCCCTGAATAAGTCAGGAAATTTGGGGATAAATATCGATGTCTCACTCACAGGATTCCAGATTTTATGGAACATTATTCTAAAATTACAAAAACTTATCTACAATGAAATTTTATTTTCTTCTGTCAGGAATCTTCTAATAACATTTTTGTTTTTCCTGCTCCCTCTCTTACTGTTCTTCACTTTCTTATATTACAATTTTAATTACTGATTACAACCAATATGCCCGTGGGTCACTGGTTTCCCATTCAAAGTGTCTATTCACATAAAATAAAGAGGAATCGATTACATAGGCACAGTGGCCTTCACAAACAAGATCAGCTACACAGTTTATATGGGACAGTACAAAATGAAAATGTGGGCTCCTAGTTAAAAATGATCAAGAATTCAAAACAGTGATAGAGAGTATTAAATCAAGCATGGACTCCTCTTTGCACAGGATACCATGGGACTTTATAAGTCTCATGCCCTGGGTATAAGATTATAGGCAGTTTTGTTTTTCAGTGGGTTTGCAGGAACTCATAGCTTCCTATTTATTATCTGACTCATGTAAATTTATAAAATATCTACTATATCCTTATGGATAAGAAGTTACCCCATGGGATTCTTCAGTGTACAGATAATATGTCTTTAACTTCATTGGTTTTTTTGTAATTAGTGGATTAGGTTCTTGAGATAATAATTAAGTTTCAGCAAACCCTCATTTAGGAAGACTTTAATAAAGTCTATTTGCAGTGTGAATATCTGCTACTCTGTAGCCATATGCAGATGTAAACAAAACTACTGACAAAACCTATAATCAAAGCTCCAAGACACACACTGACACAGAGACATGCTTTGGGGCAAACTTACGATTTCCAGTGACAATGATTCCCTCTCTCAGGGTCTTGGTCCTTGAATTGTCTAAGATATAGGAACGAAATTTTTTTGATTGCACCTGGAAACTACTATCCAGATGGTCTTCTTGCACATTCTCAATATGGAATAAGAGATTTTTGTCACTTGTAGGCCGGTCAAAGATGAAGCACTTTCGGTTCGGAAAGAACTCCCTAATACATTCTCTGGGCATGTTGGAATTTTGGACTCTGGGATTTTTGCCTGCAGAAGTGGAAAAAAATAGATTATTGGAGGGCAGCTTGCAGTGAAGAGGTCTGAGGGCTTTTGATTTCCAAAAATCTTTGCATCATTACATCTCCTATGTATGTAAATCTCCTTTAATCCAATCACTTCAAATCAACCTATGCCAATCACCAAAGGTAAGAAAAATCCATTTCTGCATAGAGCAGAGTCAAGAAAGTATTTCAGGAGGAGGAGAGGCATCCAGCCAAGTGAAGAAACTTATGGTTGATTTCCTTAGCACTGTACGCAGTTGGGTGAATTAAGTATTAAATGTTTATTGAATGACTGACAAATGAAAAAAAATGGTCAGAATTTCTTTTTGTGATCCTACTGTCCCCATATTAGAAATAAAATCTGGACCTTAAAATAAAGTAGTGACAGAAAGAAGGATAAGATGTTGATTGTGAGAATATCAGGAGGACAAATGATACCAAGGTAAGAAAAAAAAATCACATACTCAATAAATATGTTTAGAATTATTTTAACAGAAAGGTCCACAGGATAAAGTTAACCCAAAGTAATTTGGAGATGTTATCACTTATGTATAGCAGACTATATTTGATTTGACAAGTACTTCACAGAATGATTCTAGGGATATGTCAGATGCCCAATAAATACTTTTTGAAAGAATGAGTGAATAAATGAATGATTAAATAAAATGTGTATGACTTCTTCTTAGCTACAGCAATCAATAAAAAGAATTAAAGGCATCCAAATTGGTGAGGAAGAAGTAAAATTGTCCCTATTTGCAGGTGACATGATACTTTATATTGAAAGCCTTAAGGCTCTACCTTAAAACTTTAGTTTAAAAAAATAAAATTGCAGAACATAAAATTAATGTAAGATCTGTTGTGTTTCTTTACAAATTATGAACTTAGCAGAAAGGCAAATCAAGAAAAAAATCCTATTTAAACTTGCATCAGAAAGAATAAAAATACCCGGGAATAGATCTAACCAAAGAGGTGAAAGACCTGTATCTGAAAACTGTAAGACATTGATGAAAGAAATTGAAGATGGCATAAATAAATGGAAAGATATTCCATGCTCATGGATTAGAAGAATTAATATTGTTAAAATGGCCATCCTGCCCAAAGCAATTTCAGAGTCAATGCAATCCCTATCAAAATACCAAGGACATTTTTCACGGAACTAGAACAAATACCCTAAAATTTGTGTGGAATCAAAAAGACCCAAACAGTCACAGCAATCTTGAGAAAGAAGAACAAAGGTGGCGATATTACTCCCTGATTTTAAACCATACCACAAAGTTACAGTAATCAAAACAGTATGGTATACTGGCATAAGAACAGATACATAGAACAGTAGAATAGAATAGAGGGTCCAGAAATAAACCCATGCTTACAGGGTCAAGTAATATATGACAAAGGGGGCAAAAATAAACAATGGGGAAAAGATAGTCTCTTCAATGAATGGTGCTGGGAAAACTGGACAGCAACATGCAAAAGAATGACATGGTATTTGTTTCTTACATCATGTACAAAAATAAATTCAAAGTTGATTAAAGACTCAAATATAAGATATGAAACCATAAAATTCCTAGAAGAAAACAGACAATAAATTCTTGAGCATCAGCATTAGTAATTTTTGCCTGGAGTCTCCCTGGGCAAGAAGAACAAAAACAAAATAAACAAGTGGGACAACATCAAACTAAAAAGCTTCTGCACAGGAAAAGAGACCAACATAAGTGAAAAGACAAGCTACTGAATGGGAGAATATATTTGCAGATGACATATCTGATAAGGAGCTAATATCCAAAATATAAAAAGAACTCATAAAACTCAACACCAAATAATAGGAATAATCATAATCTGATTTAAAAATAGGCAGAGGACCTAAATAGACATTTTTCCAAAGAATACAGATGGCCAACAGGCACATAAGAAGATATTCAACATCACTAGTCATCAGGGAAATGCAAATCAAAACAACAATGAGATATCAGCTCACATCAATCACAATGGCTAATACCAACAAGACAAGAAACAACAAGTGTTGGTGAGAATATGAAGAAAAAGGAATCCTCTTACACTACCAGTGGGAATGTAAATTGGTGCAGCCACTATGGAAAGCAGTATAGAGGTTTCTCAAAAAATTAAAAAGAGAAATGATCCAGCAATTCCATCTCTGGGAATCATCCAAAGAAAACAAAATCACTAATCTGTAAAGATATATGCACTCCTGTGTTTATTACAGCATTATTTACAGTGGCCAAAGTAGGTAACAACCCAAATGCACATCCCAAGATGAACCGATAAAGATGAGGTGGTATATATACACAAAGGAAATATACACTAGGTGAAATAAATCAGAGAAAGACAAATACCATATGATTTTATTTATATGTGAAATAAAAAAAAAAGAACAAAACAGAGAGCAGATTGGTAGAACTATGGGTGAAATAAGTGAAAGGGATAAAGAGGTACAAATGTCCAATTAGAAAATAAATTAGTCATGGGGATGAAAATACAGTATAGGGAACATAGCCAATAACATTGTAGTACCTTTGTATGGTGACAGATGGTAACTATACTTACGGTGAGCATTTAGTAATGTATGTAATAGCTGAGTCGCTATGTTGTACAACCAAAACAATATAATATTCAATATCAACTATATTTTAATGTGGAAAAAGTTTATGCTTTCCAGGTGCTGTCAGTTATCCATCTTGCTAAAATAAAACTAAAAAAAGTAAAAAAAAATGAATGTAAAATGTATATGTAGTTAATATTAAGTTAATAAATTGCAATATAATGTGCAAGCATGTAAGAATGAAGAAAGTGAAATCATGAGAAAGGTAAATGTGGATTTGAAAGCCTTCCTAGGAGGACATGTCATTTTTTTTCCAGACACTTATTGTATAAGTATCCTTTCTCTGAAATATGTGTTATTCCAGCACTAGTAAAATATTCTACATGAAATATACTTTATAATTAGGTCATTTAAATATGGTATGTACATACAATAGAATAATATTTCAGTCTCAAAAAGGAAAGAAATTCTAACATCCTACAGCATGGACTAATCTTGATGACATTATAGTTAATGAAATAAGCTTGTCACAAAAAGAGATGTAGTGTATGATATCACTTATATGAGGTTACCAATATTGAGGCAGAGAGTGGAATGGTGGCTGCCAAGGGATGTGGGTTGCAGGTAGTAGGGAGTTAGTGTTTAATGGGTACAGAGTTTCTGATGAGGAAGGAGTTGGCAGGTGGTGATGGCTGCACAACAATGTGAATGTACTTATCGCCACAGAGCTGTGCACTTAAAAAGGGTTAAAATGGTAAATTTTAAGTTTTGCATTTTTTCTGTAACAAAATGTTTGGGTGATTTTATTTCTTATGAATCCATGTTTACTGGCTTTTCATATGATGAGTTATTTTTGTCAGCATGGAACAGGAGTGGCACATAATAAGGAACACAAGAAATTACAGCACAGTTTATAACCTGGAAAAGGTCTACAAGTCCCCTTTGGTCTAAAAGCATTTGGTTCAACACTGGTCCTTAAGTTTTCTTAGTGAGCTTACTCTAGTAGCTGGATTTTGAAAGGAATAACCCATGACAGACAAACACTGATCACCATTCAACCACCACCACTCACTGTTAGGATGCATCTTAATCCAACATCAAATAAAAATTGAATTCAAATACTGAATGAGAAGGCACAGGTGACCTTCTGCCACCCAGGCCATGGCTCCGATACCTGGAATTAGCTTCAAGGCATCCTCCAGGTACTCATCTTCAGTGATGGGCAAGTCATCTATCTTCATCTCCAGGGTGAAATCACGAACAGTCCAAACAAAGTCTGGAAAGAAACTCACAAACTCGATGGAGTCCTTTACCTTATCAGGTGCTGAGGAGGACTTTGCTTTGATTAGCTCTGTGAGTTCAGTCACATAGCTGAGAATGAAGCTAAGGAAGGAGAAACGCTTTACAATTTCTGGACCTGATACACACACAAAGTTTATAAATACCATTTCCTGTGCCCCCTCCTCAATCATGACAATTAAGTCACAGGGAAGTCGACAGTCTCACTTGCCATTCCTATAAACTCATAAAACTTGGTGGTTTGGTTCCTGGAAGGATATTGCAGCTGCTCCAGGGCCTGGTGGTTGATGGTGTTCATGCTGTTGTAGATCAGGGTGCTGCTCAGAAGCACCGTCAGGGCAAAGATCCATGAGTCATTTTTAGGGTCACCCTAGAAAGCATATTAGAGCAAAAGACCAAGGAGACTATCGATCTTCCCATTCATTAATATACTGACTAGAACATAGTACATATGTACTAATAAGCAGTAAATGATTTCTATTACAAATTGCATGTGTCACAGTCAACATTAAAAACACAATGTATTCACGAGGCATCTTCTAAATGCTAGGCAGTATATTTGATTGTACGGGTGCATGGTTCCATGTGACAGTCCCTGCCCTCAAATGACTTTCTGGATGAGCAGACCAATAAATTAATTTGCAACCAAGTAAATAATCTCTGCCAGGACTTCAACCAAAGGTGATAATGTAAAAAAAAATAAAGGGGTAAATCTAATAAATGAAAAAAAGGGCCCTGTGAATGTTGAGCAAGAAGAGACTACATTTCACTGTGAAGTGACGGCAAGCAGGAAAAATACTGGGTTTTAAAGAAATGACAGAATGTGGACTTGTAGAAATAAAGAGATCATGCAGGTGAAACTACCCACACAAGCTGAGTCAGAATTGTTAAAAGCAGAAAAGGTGTTATGGAGTCATTCCATTTGACTGAAGCCATGTGTAAAAAATGCGTGGGTGTAGACGACAGGCTGGAAAGGAGACTCAGGACAAGATGTGAAGGACACTGAAGTTCAGCCAAACAGAATTAGATACAACCCAAATTATATCACATGTTATAAATTCAGCAAGTGGTTCTGCTGTCATCAGTCATTAGTAATTTGGTATGTTTTGATCCCTTGAACAAATGTAATTAGATTAAAAAAAAATTTTAGGCCAAAGCACAATATAATTCAGCATCAAGAGTTCATCTTCACATTTTTTGCAGGGTTGATCAATAATTAGACTACACTTAATTCATGGGGAATTAGGTTGAGGGGCCCTGGAATAGTAAGTAACAAGTTGTTAGTTTTGTTTTAGTTTGAAAAATTGCTGGTACATTCAAAGAAGGGACAAACTTGTGAAAATTCAAGCATATGATAACATGATTCATGAGGTCTAATAGATATTGTTATAGTTCCTCTTCCACCTTAGTTTTATACTCTTTTTATATTGAGAACTTTAGAACTTTTGAAGTTTTAAAACATTAAAAATTTTAACTCAGAATTTCCAAATCTTTCCTCCATCTTATTTTGCACTAATACAATGAGTCTACTGCTGCAATGTAGACACAGACTTATATAAAATGAGAAATGACTGCATTTAACACTGTAAAGACAACATACCTAAAATTATCCTTTTACAGTGTTTATTTGCCAAGATTGTGCATTTTACAAGTCAGTGAAGAATTAATCTTCAAAGTCCAGAAACTTAGACTAAAACCATAAGGAATGTTCCTAGAATAACCAAAGCTTTTCTGTAGTTTATTTAAATAGACTACTTCACTCACATCCTATTTTCTATGCTGCTATAGCCAAACTTATCAATCCACACACTTTGGTTGGTAGACCCACTGACCTGATGGGTTACAAGTTAGATAATTTGCGTGTTATTTCACCAGCAAACTTTCTCTAACCCTGCAACTAGATTGCATCCATAGCAACCAGTACTGATTATAGTCTGTATTCGCCTCTAGGTCTTTACTGTTTTCACTGCTGTGTCTGTGGTACTTAGCACAGAGTCCTAGATTCAGCTGCTCAGTAAGTATTTCTTAAATTGTGTCAGTAACCCTGGTGTTAAAAATAAGATGAAAATCTTGCCCTAAAATACCAAAATATTTATGCTCTCAGAGTGTAAGTTCAAAATAAGAGAATTTAACCTCATTATCCATAATTTGCATTTGTTATTTGCAGGAATATGTCACAGAAGTTGAACTAAGATGAAGTTAAAAGGCAAGGGCAGAGCTGATTTCTCAACCTTCTGTCTTACCTTTTTCACATCACCCAGGCCCTCAGTGTCCAGAAGGACCAAGGTGTGGTTCAGCTTGGTGGGGTGGGGTATACACCACATCCAGATGCCCTTAGTTTCAGATCTGACTGTGGAGCCCAGACTAAAGCCTGCAAGGAAGGAGTAAACAACATACAGTGACATACAGTGACAAAGGATATTCCAGGAGTGACAATGGTTAAACTGGTACAATAGTAAGGGCCTAGCAGGGAGAGTAGTTGCTTTCATTTCAGGAAAGACAGTCAACACAACTGTTATACATACAAGGACTTTTTAAAGAAACACTTTGGGTCCCCTAACCCTCATACCTTTATGGGCTCAAGAGATCACATTATAGATTAATGTAAAACTCTATTAACCTGTGTATTTTTAGCTGACCCTTCAAAGGAAGGAAAAGCATGCATTCATAAGTAGAATTAGAAAGAGGGCAGAGATGAGAACTCTGGGTTTCTATTCACCTTATGTAGTTCACCCTTTTTTTACATGGGTCGTTGTTAAGAGAAGAAGATGCTAATATGGAAAGGACAGTATTGAGGTGCCACTCTAGGCTTGTTCTCTGCAACAGTCTTCTAGTTTGGGTGTAGTGAGGACTGATTTTTGAAATGTAACCATGTAATCAGTAATGTGAGGATCTTAACACCTACATAAGTAGACAAGGTTTGTTAGATAAGAAATCATCTAAGTTTTTGAGATGGACAGTAACAAAATCAAAAATATATTTAGAAAAGTTAGTATGGTATTGGAATAGGGGAGAAACTAGGAATTGAGATCCTGGAGCAGTTAGAAGGCTTCTGGAATTTTAGAGCTGTTATGGACTCAAGTGACCATTTAGTCCACTGGGAGATTACCTGGTTATTACCTGATGCCATCTTGAGTAGAAAATATAAGGGACATTGTTGAAACTCCCTAAATAATATTGATCTATTATTTAAAAAACTTGTTTAGTCCCTCAAATAAAACCTATGAATTTACTTGGGTCAGACAAGGAAAATTGTTCTCTGATGGTGGACAAGAATTCTCGTGAAAGAAAGATAAAGACAAAATATTTTGCTTAGAAGCTAATGGGAGATTGGAAAGTAAGAGGGGAGAGAGAGGGAAGGAGGAAATAAAGGTTGAGAGAGGAGGGAAGAGAGAAGGAGGGGGGAAAAGAGAGAGATTGAGAGAGATAGCGGGTTGGATGTATGGGATCCAGAGTTTAGTGGACTGCAGTTCAACCCTAGTAGTGCTGAGTCAGCGAGGAATTAATAGATTCGAAAATAATGTCTGCATGTTCTAAACAGAAAATCCTACACGACCATGGGGAGATTCTCCTAAAAAATCAATAAGAACCATAAGAAACAACCTAACCAAGTTAAAAACAAACACAAAAAACAAACTCCACATCAGTGAGTAATAAGAACATTCACATTGTGCTGAACTACAGAGTACATTGACCCTGAACTATTCTTTTTGTTTTCATAGAGACCATAACATTGAAGGGAAAGCTCAATGCTTTTTAGTAATTAACACAATCTTTGAAAGTGTTCAAGACCTAGAAGTCACTTAGAGACTTCTTGTGGCTCTTGGGATACTTACCAGTGATGACTCAACACTATACAATTGAACAAGACTTCAGACATTTATTCTCAAATAAAAAGGCATGCCTTACTATCAGAATCAGCTAAAGTAAGTGAATACTGTAGATTTATCCTAAATTTGCTGTTACTATGGGGAAGGGAGTTGAAATTTTAAGTTGATTTAGTGTTTTTTTTTCCCTCACATTTTACATAACTAATTACAGATGATAAAAAAAAGAATGCTGTGCATCAAGTAAAATTTCAGATCTAAAGTTGGGGGGAGGGGAAACAAAGGAGAAATATAATATTTGCACTGAAAAATATAGGAAATACAAACGTCAAATAAATAAAGGTTCTCCATTATTTATAATCAATTAATTATTTATAGTGAAGCATATGACTATGCAGTTACCAGATTAGTAAAAGCTAAAATGTGTGACAGGAAGCAGGTCCAAGGTGGTGGCATAAAGGAGCCTGAACACACCTCATCCCACAAACACACTGAATCTTCATTTACACACAAAGCAATTTATTTTTATGAAGAACTGAGGCCTGAGTAACACCTTCTGAACAACAAGGAATAAAAAGACAACATTAAAAAATGGCAGGAGATACAGAGACAAGAAATGGAGGGAGCCCTACCCACAGAGTGGCCCTGCAGTAGAGAGGGATATTGCTGAGTTACAGGAGCACACACTTGCCTGCCTTTGGGCAAGGAAGAAAAGCTGTGAGTTGGAGGGTTTAAAGCCAACCATGATTATACCAGAAGGAAAGTGACTTTCAGAACTTAAGTGCCTACCAAATGGCAGGGGAACTGATGGAAACTCTGGGACTAGATATGCTAGTGAGCACCATTGTTTGCATTCCCCACAGACACTGCTAGTGTGGAAAGGAGCAAGGTGAGCACCATTGTTCATGTTTCCCATGCACATTGATTGCATGGACAAGAGCAGGGTCAGGTAATAACACCTGCTCCAGATGTGATGGAGGTGTGATGGCCCTAAACATGCTTCTCAGAGATCTAGCAGTCCTACTAAGGTGGTACCAGTGTGATGCTCACACAGATTCACCCTACTAATGCTGCTTCTGTCTCTGGTCACCCTGTTTTCACATTACCAGCCCAGTGCCAACTGGGGAGAACCCTGGACTGCACTCTCCATTAGCAGCCACACCATTAGCCCATTAGCATGGTCCTGGCTGGCACCCACTTAGGAGACCACTGGCCAAGCCCTCTACCTACAGTTCCCCACCAGCGAATCCTCAGAATGTTGCCTACCTGGGAGTTCTCTGGACTGTGCCCCTTGAACATTGGCTGCCAACTTGTCAGCATGGCAGCATGGCCCCAACTGGCAACCACACAATAAAGTCCCAGCCCATACCCTGGGATCTCTGACTCTGGGACACCATGGACTATGCCCACCAATCCTCCATCCATCCAGCTAGTTTTCCAGCTAGCCAACACTGCAAGGCACATGCAATCTACCAAGGCGATGTCCTCACACAAGTTCACACCTTCAAGACTGGGAGAAGTAGCCCTCTTGCCTAATCTATAGAAACAAACACAGAAAGTCAAACATAATGAGGGACACAGAGGAATACGCTTGAAACAAAAGAATAAGACAAAGCTTCAGAAAAAGAATTAAATGAAACTGTTAATCATTCTACCCAATAGAAAGTTTAATGTAATGGTTATAAAGATACTCACTAGACTTGAGAAGAGAGTGGATGAACTAATGAAAATCTTAACAGAGAGATAAAAAATATTTAAAAAAGGAACAATAAATGAAGAATACAATAAATGAAATGTGAAGTACACTAGAGGGAATTGACAGTAGACTAGAGGATGCAGAATGGATCAGTGACTTGGGAAACAGAATAATGAAGTGCAGTCAAGCTGAATAGCAGAAAGAAAAAAGAATAGAAAGAAGTGAGGATAGGTTAAGGGATCTCTGGAACAATATCAAGAATCCTAAAATTTGCATTATAGGAGTACTAAAAGAAGGAGAGAAAGCAAGGGGTGGAAAACTTATTTAAAGAAATAATAGCTGAAAACTTCCCTAGTCCAGGGAAGGAAACACATTCAAGTCCAAGAATCACAGAGTCTCCAACAAGAAGAATCCAAGGAGGCCTATACCAAGACACATAATAAAGTATCAAAGATCGAGAGAAAGAGAGAATCTTAAAAGCAGCAAGAGGAAAGCAATGAGTTACCTACAAGGGAAACCCCATAAGGCTTTCAGGTGATTTTTTTTTCATCAGAAACATGACAAGCCAGAAAAGAATGGCATGATATATTCAAAGTGCTGAAACAAACAGACCTACAACCAAGAATACTCTACCAAGCAATGTTATCATTTAGAATTGAAGGAGAGATAAAGTTTCTCAGATAAATACAGGTCAAAGGAGCTTGCCACTACTAAACTAGCCTTACAAGAAATATTAAAGGGACTTTTTTAAAAGGAAAAGAAAAGGCCATAACTAGAAGCAAGAAAAATACGACAAGAAAAATTTCACTAGTAAACAGATAGCAAAGATAGTAGATCAATCACTTAAAGCTAGTATGAAAGTTAATACAAAATAGTAAAATCAATTATTTCTAAAATTAGTTCAGGGAATTACTAAATAAAAGATTAAAGAAGATATCATATACATAAAATGGGGATGAGGGGAAGTTAAAAACATACTGCTGTTAGAATACATTTGAACTTAAGTGAACAACTTAACATGTACTGCTATATATGTAAGACATCATATATAAACCCCATGGTAACCACAAACCAAAAATCTATAATAGATATACAAAAAATAAAGAGAAAGGAATCTAACCATAACACTAAAGAAAGTAATCACTTTCTTTAAAGGGAGGAGAGCAAGAAGAAGAGATCAGAGATGAATGACAGAAACAACCAGAAAACATGTAACAAATTACAATAAGTACATGTTTATAAACAATTACTTTGAATGTAAATGGACTAAATCCTCCATTCAAATGTCAGGGTGACTGAATAGATTAAAAAAAAGAAAGACCCATCTATATGCTGCCTGCAGGAGACGCACTTCAGATCTAAAGACACATACAGACTGAAATAGAAGGGATGGAAAAAGATATTCTGTGAGAATAGAAATGAAAAAAGACAGCTGGTGCAGTAGTACTTACATCAGAGGAAATAGACCTAAAACCAAAACTATGAAGAGACAAAAAAGGATATTATAAAATGATTAAGGGCTCAATCCAGCAAGAAGATATAACAATTAAAAATATCTACACACCCAACAGAGGAGTACCTAGATACATAGAGCAAATATTGTAGACATGAAGTGAGAAACAGACAACCATATACTAATAGTAGAGAACTTTAACACCACACTTACATCAATGGATAGATTATCCAGAGAGAAAATCAATAAAGAAACAGTGGCACATTAGAATGTCCCACTTTGAATGATGCATTAGATCAAATTGACCTAATAGATAAATACAGAATATTCCATATAAAAACAGCAGAATAATCATTCTTTGAAAGTGTACATTCTCCAGGATAGATGAAATGTTAGGCCACAGAACAACTCTTAATAAATTTAGTAAGACTGAATTCATAACAAGCATTTTTTTTGACCATGCAATATGAAATTGGAAATCAGTTATTGGAAAAAACAAAACACATGGAGGCTAAGCAGCATCCTACCAAACAATCAATGAATCAACAAAGAAATTAAAGAGAAAATTAAAAATACTTGGAGAATAATGAAAATACAAACACAACAATGCAAAATCTTTGGGATGCAGCAAAAGCAGTTTGAAGAGAGAAATTTATAATTTTGCATGTCTATCTCAAGGAACAAAAATCTCAAATAAATCTAACCAACTCTTAAAGGAACTAGAAAAAGAACAAAACCCAAAGTTAGTAGAATAAGGAAATTATAAAGTAGAAGAAGGAAATTAAAGGGAATTTATAATTATATTTGTATTTATATTTATATTACATTTATATAATTAATTTATATAAATATAAATATAATACAGACTAAAACATTTAGAAAAGATCAGTGAACTCAGATATGATTCTTTGAAAAGATAAATCAATAAACATTTAGACAGACTCACAATAAAAAAAGAGCAGACTCAAATAAATAAAATCAGAAACAAAAAGGGAGAAGTTACAACTGACACCACAGAGATAAAAACAATTATAAGAGATTACCATGAAAAATTATATGCCAAAACAGTGGACAACCTAGAAGTAGATAAATTCCTAGAAAAATACAACCTCCCAAGGTTGGCCCAGGAAAAAACAGAAAATATGAACAAACCAATTACTAGTAACAAAATCTAAGTGGAAATCAAGAACTCCCAACAAACGAAAGTTTTGGACCAGATGGCTTCACAGGAGACTCAACCAAACATTTAAACAAAAGTTAATACCTACCCTTCTCAAGCTATTCCAAAAGTTTGAGAGGTAGGAAAGCTTCCAAACTCATTCTATAAGGCCAAAACCGCCTTGATAGCAAACCCAGACAAAGACACTACAAAAAGAAGAAAATTATAGGCCAATATCCCTGATGAACATAGATATAACAAAATATTACAGGACTGAATTCAAAAATACATTAAAAGGTCACTCACATGATCAGGGATGCAAGGATAGATAGTTCAATATCCACAAACCAATCAATGTGATACAGCATATTAACAAAAGGAAGGATAAAAACCATACGGTTATCTCAATTGATGCTGAGAACATTTGACAAAATCCAAGATCCATTCATGATAAAAACTCTCAACTAGTGAGTATAGAGGCAACACATCTAAACATAATAAAAGCCATACATGACAAACCCACACCTAACAACATGCTCAAAGGTGAAAAGTTGAAAGTTTTTACTCTAAGATCAGGAAAAAGACAAAGATGCTTACTCTCACCATTTTTATTCATCACAGTACTGGAAGTCCTACCCATAGCAATCAGGCAAGAAAAAGAAATGAGAGGTGTCCAAATTGATGGGGTAGAAGTAAAATTGTCACTACTTGCAGATGACTTGATACTATATAAAGAAAATGCTAAAAACTCCACCAAAAAGCTACTAGAACTAGTAAATAAATTCAGTAAAATTTCAGGATACAAAATCAATGTATAGAAACGTATTGTGTTTCTTATATACAAATAATGAACTAAAAGAGAAATAAATTAACAAATCAACCCCATTTACAATTACATCAAACAGAATAAAATACCTATGAACAAATTTAACCAAGTTGGTGAAAGACCTGTATTCTGAAATCTCTGACATTGATGAAAGAAATTGAAGATAGGACAAATAAATGGAAAGATATTCCATGCTCATGGATTAGAAGAATTAATATTGTTGAAATGGCCATCCTGCCCAAAGCAATTTACAGAGTCAATGCAATCCCTATCAAAATACCAAGGACATTTTTCATGGAAATAGAAAAAATCCTAAAATTTGTATGGAATCAAAAAGACCCAAACAGTCACAGCAATCTTGAGAAAGTAGAACAAAGCTGGTGGTATCACTCCCTGATTTTAAACCATACCACAAAGTTACAGTAATCAAAACAGTATGGTATACTGGCATAAGAACAGATACATAGAACAGTGGAATAGAATAGAGGGTCCAGAAATAAACCCATGCTTACAGGGTCAAGTAATATATGACAAAGGGGGCAAAAATAAACAATGGGGAAAAGATAGTCTCTTCAATGAATGGTGCTGGGAAAACTGGACAGCAACATGCAAAAGAATGACATGGTATTTGTTTCTTACATCATGTACAAAAATAAATTCAAAGTTGATTAAAGACTCAAATATAAGATATGAAACCATAAAATTCCTAGAAGAAAACAGACAATAAATTCTTGAGCATCAGCATTAGTAATTTTTGTCTGGAGTCTCCCTGGGAAAGAAGAACAAAAGCAAAATAAACAAGTGGGACAACATCAAATTAAAAAGCCTCTGCACAGCAAAGGAGACCAACCAAAGTGAAAAGACAAGCTACTGAATGGGAGAAGATATTTGCAGATGACATATCTGATAAGGAGCTAATATCCAAAATATAAAAAGAACTCATGCAACTCACACCAAAATAATAATAACAATAACAATAACAACAACAACAATAATAATAATTTGATTTAAAAATGGGCACAGGACCTAGATAGACATTTTTCCACAGAACTACCGTACAGATGGCCAACAGGTACATGAAAAGATACTCAACATCATTAGTCATCAAGGAAATGCAAATCAAAACGGCAATGAGATACCAGCTCACACCAATCAGAATGGCTTATATTAACAAGACAAGAAATAACAAGTGTGGTTAGAATATGAAGAAAAGGGAATCATCTTACACTATCAGTGGGAATGTAAATTAGTGAAGCCACTATGGAAAGCAGTATGGAGGTTTCTCAAAAAATCAAAAATAGAAATACCATATGATCTAGCAATTCCATCTCTGGGAATCATCCAAAGAAAACAAAATCACTAATCTGTAAAGATATATGCACCCCTGTGTTTATTACAGCATTATTTACAGTGGCCAAAGTAGGAAACAACCTAAATGCACATCCATAGATAAACAGATAAAGATGAGGTGGTGTATATATACATATACAAAGGAATATTACTCAGCTATAAAAAGAATGAAATTTGCCATTTGCAACACCATAGATGTACCTAGAGGTATTAGGCCAAGTGAAATAAATCAGGCAAAGACAAATAGCATATGATTTCACTTATATGTGGAATCTAAAAAACAAAACAAGCAAACAATACTGAAACAGACTTATAAACACAGAGAACAGACTGTAGACTGCCACAGGGGAGTGTGGGAGAGTGGGTGAAATAGACAAAGGGGAAAAAACTAGTGAGAATGTCGATATCTTGATCTGGGTGATGGTTATATACATACATACACATGTCAAAATTCATCAAGCTGTCCACTAAAATTTGTACAGTTTGTTGTATGTACCTCAATATAAAAAATTTTTTTAAAAGGCTTATATTACCAAATGGTGGTAAGAATGTGGAAAAATCTTAGTTACTGCTAATAATCACACAAATTGTATATCAAGTTTGAAAACTGTTTCATATTATCTTGAAAGGCTGGAGACACACATACCCTGTGATCTTGTAATTCCATTACTGGGTATAACAAATAGGTGAGGTTTGGGTCATGTATGCTAGGATATAAATAAGAAAACACTTCATAAAAAATAAAACCTGGGAATAATATCAACATCCATCAATAATAAATGAGAAACAAATTGTGATATTTTCATACAATTGCACACTATAACCTAGTTAAAACAAATAAATTACAATACAAATAAGAATGTGGATGATTCTTACAAACTTCTTGGTGAGAAAAACCAACAACACAAAAGAATACATACAATATAATTCCATTTTATATAGACTTTAAATGCAGGATAAATTAAACTGTGTTTTAGAAATACAGAGACTACAAAGCTATTTTAAAAAGAAAGAGGAAGAAGTGCCATGAAAATAAGAAATATTGGTAAGCACCAGTGAGACGTGAAAGGGTATATTTGGACTTGTGGGTGTTTGCACTGTTTTACTTCCTGGCCTAAGCAGTGGTTATGTGGGTGATCACTTTACATTTATTACCTTTATTGTACATATATGTTTCACACACTCTTCTGTGTGTATTTTCACATATCAGAAAATACTAACTACAAAAAAGAGAAGGTAGTATAACTTATCAAACTTTTGTTAAGAAATAGATCGAGCAAAAAAAAACAGCTCTTGGCTCCCTTGAGATACAGGAATCACAGCTTCCTCCCTCTTTCCCTTTCCCCCTCCCCCTACTTTTTAAAAAGCAAAGAGGCTATTGTGTCTACAATAAACTAAATTTTTATGCTGCTGGGAATGACCCTGTAATTCGGGTAAATGGGATGCAGGAGAAAGGGAGTAATGGCAGAAGCTGAGCTCTTGAGCAAGTGAGAGTGGATGGGATCCAGAGGACTAGTGTAGGGCTCTTTCAGTAGGGTTGGGAGGCTCTTCTTTTGCATAAGATAAAAGAATAAGATTTTGTGGACAAGCAGGGTTGAGGTTGTACATTTGGTGGTGAGAATTGGAGGTCTTCAGTAGCCGGGGTCAGGCTCTTCCTTAAGATGACACTAGAGAAGGTGTGATCAGCTCTGCAGGTGAGATCTACCTTCTCACTGTTTCCCAGCAAACAGCCCCTGTACCAGGACAACACTCACCATGGTTCTGCCCTGCCAGGAGGTTCATCAAGTAGGACTTTCCTGTCCGATACAGCCCTGCAATGGCCACCACCACCACAGGTTGAGATACCTCATAGAGAATCTGTAATGCTTCTGGATTTACCATCAGCTGCTCTTCCTGGTTTTCCACTAGACAAATGGGTGCTGTCTTGGTGGGTCCAGATGCCATAGTGACCTGTAACCCAGAAGAGCTCTTCAATAGAATAAATATCCCAAAGTCATCTCTAATAGTTAGGTGAAGTACACATATATAGTGAATATAGTGAATAGCTTTCTGCTTATGCTATATANATTTCCTTCATTTGTAGACTTCTAAGAGAATGTATGTAGCCTAGTGTGTCAAGGCCTGGTATAGATGCCATATGTCTATTGTCTATTGATCTTTAAGTGAACTCTAAAATAGCTTTGTCCTGGAAATGCACAAAGTGAATAGAATGAGTAAAGCAAAGGACTGATGATGGAGTCCTGAGAAAACTAGCATTTCAGGGGTACAGAGCCAGAATGGGACATGAAGGAGATGAATAGTCAGAAGAATTTTTTTTTAGAGTTCCAGGACAATATGGTGTCTCATTCACTCTATAAATATTTGTTGAATATCTACCGTGTGCTGCACTATTCTAGGTGCTCGGTGTCCACAAGTGAACAAAATGGATAAAATCCTGCCTCATGGAGCTCTAGTCTAGTAGGGCCAGACAGGTATTTAGCAAAACAAACAAAGATCTATATGTGTTAGATGACGGTAAGTGTGCTGGAGAAAAATTAGTAAGTAATGAAACATGCGGCAAAAGGGCAGTGTGATTATATATATGATGTTCTGAGAAAGAGACCAAAGGAAGGTGATCAGTGACCTTCAAGAAGGCAGATTCAGTGAAAGGGTGCGAGGAGGCAGATGGATGGAGGGGTGGCCGTGAAAGCAGGCAGAAGAGACCCTGTAGCTTGCCTCAGCATGTAAAGGGAAGATGTGTACGGTGCCGGAAAGGACATTTCTTGTTTATAAGCTTACAACAGAAAATTACACCTCACCATTCTTCCTAAGATCCCCTCTGGAAAATATCTTAAAAAGTGTCAGCCTAAACGGTCCTCCCTGCGGTCCATGCATTTGCTGCGGGATGGTGAAGCCATGTGGAAGTGCAGTTTTGAGGCCATACCTCAAAAAGTACCATCCTCACACATTTTGAATGGTTAATAAAAATAATCAGTAATCCAAATTTTAGATTTAAATAGTCTCTAAGACAACGATCATCTTTTCTTTCTGTTTTCCCAATGCACAGCAGGGCAGGGTGCAGTTAGGACATTTCAGGAGGGGTGGGAGAGATGAAGGAAGTGACCCCACCCAGTGGCTCGGAAAGGCCTCCACTTTGGTTCCTCAATCAGAGAAAAGATTTACGCTCCCATGACTAAATTAGAGCAGGACGCACTCCTTCTCCCAAGCATTGCTAGGTAGATGTGCTCCAGGAAGGGCAGCGCGTCCCGGGGACTCACTCCGAGCACCGTCGCCTCGCAGCCGCCTCGGGTTCAAACCGAGACGCGGAGCCGCCGGGAACAGAGCGCCCGCGTCGGGCTCCGCGCTGTCCTCCTGCTCCCTCCCCACCCGCCGGGGTGAGTGTGCCCGGGACTATGCTGTTAATTAGTTAACAGAAATGTGCACGCAAGACCAAGTTTAGGAGCGAACTTACCTGATGCTGACGCTGCGGCCAGGGGCCGAGTTTTTAGCTGCCCTCGATCACCTCTTGCGCGCTGCTCTGCGTCTGCTCCTAGAGAAACCCACAGTTCTCTTTAGAAGTTAAGAGTAAACCGGATATTACAACCATTCTTTTAAGGTTGAGGATGAGGAAGAACTGAAATCGAAAGGACATGCTTTATTCGTGTTTCAGTTGTCACCCTTTTTAACCCAGTCAGCAAAGTTGGAACATCCTTGGTTCCTCCCGTCGCGCTTCAGTTCGGAAACCCAGGCCCGTAGATCTTCCACATTTCGAATTGGTTTCCTTGGCCTCCATAAATACAGAGCAGCAGACGTTCATGTGAGCAAAGTAACAGTAGGTTGGGAATACTTCAATAGCTTGTCTCTCAGGGGTACTTTGTGAGAGAAAATTTTTCTACTTGCTCATTTCTTATCTCAACTGTTAAAAAAAAAGTATTCCTGTTATTAAC